GAATAACCTTCTCCATAATTTTACCAGGCACTGAAGTGAGACCGACAGGTCTGTAATTACCAGGGTCTTCCTTCTTACCCTTCTTGAAAGTTGGGACAACACTTGCCAGCTTTCAGTCGACTGGGACCTCTCCAGACTCCGAAGACCATTGAAAAATAATGGAGGGAGGTCCCGCGATGACATCGGCCAGCTCTTTCAATACCCTGGGACGAATCCCATCGGGCCCAAAGGTTTATGTGCATCCAGCTGGAGCAGCAAGTCTTGAACAAGTTCAGGGTCGGCTGGGAATTTATCATCCCTCAGTCATGGTCTTCCAACACAGGGCTCTGGGGGTCCCAGGGCCCATCATCAGTGTTGAAGACAAAGGCGAAGAAGGCATTAAATGTCTCTGCTTTGTCTACATCCCTATTTGTGAGGTGACTGACCTCATCAAGTAACGGACCAATGTTATCTCTGATCCTCTACTAAGAGATTTCACCCACAGAAGATGGCCAGCTGCCTTACTGCTTGAATGTAGAAGATAACAATCATAAATTGTTGCTAACATTCCCCAGTTTCTAAAAGCCACCAATATCCCGGACAGACAGCTTGTCACTGGGAGTCTTGAGTATACTGGACAGTGCTAATTATCCCCAATGAGAAGCTTCTGGATGTGGAAATGGAGGCAGGTAGCAGCCAGAATGGGGAACAGTGTCCCAGGCCCAATACTCTGCTAACATTGTTCTTCCTCTGATGTGGCCCAGTGGTGCACAGGCTGATGGGAAAAGGGTACTTAAAGAGGACTGCTAAATTAGCACCTGAACAGTTGATTAATCCACCGTAACTTACTTCAACTGAGTCATTTTGATGAAAACAGGCTATTTCCTTGACTCTTGAAAAATGAATCTCTGGCGAGAGGAGGTCAGGGTGCCAAAAGGAACATCTCTGGAGACTTGCTGTCCTCTCGGCTAGCCTTTTCTCCTACCTCATGCCGCAAGAGGAACAAAAGTGAACCTAAAACCACAGAAAACGCCCCATCAGGGCAGAGAGCATAGTCCAGACACTGTATCTAGTAGTGGCAGGAGGAGATGCTTTTTAGGGAGAGCAGACAAGCCTGGCCACTATCTGTGGTTTGTTATGATCCAGTCACACTACCTCAATACCCACAATGACTGTGGTTGAGAACCCTGCATCTTCCCTTTAGTGTCTGTTTATGGACTTGTTACCATGAATTTCTCAGATCTCTTTTGACCCTGTCCCGCCATCTATGTCCACAGTTTACTGGGGCAGCAGATTCCAGAAGTTCACAGCTTGCCATGTAAATAAGTACTTTCTGTTTTAAACTGATGAACTAATCACAATAAGTGCCAGTTCTTGCTATACTAATGTCTCATCATTAATCACTGAAGCACTTGTCTGTCTGCATTTGAAAGACTGTGCTAGCCTAGAGAATTTTCCACTGGCTTCGTGGGAGCTATAACATGTAACTGACAGCAGCACTTGATCTTAAAAGAGCAACTTAAAAAATCCACAGATGCTCCATTCAACAGAAGCAAATCATCCATCCACCAAGTGGTGTGACTGTGGAATGATAATTACAATATCCGTGGTCATTGCATTTCAGCAGCTCCACTCAGCTGGCTAAAAGAAGTAAGAAAGTATTTTTATTCGCAAGCCCGTCCTGGAACTGGACCACTAGATGTATCCACTGGAAAATCCTTGAAAAGCAAGGCACATTAGGCTGCACAAAGAACTGTAGGAATGCAGCTGTATCCCTTGCAGTAGTCAAGCTGGGTTGTTTGCTCCTCTGTACAGTGCAGAGGTACAAGCCCTGCTGTCAGTACCGAATAGAACCTCTCTCCACCCCCTATTTCTGATGCTAGGTTATTTTTGCAAGACTAGGATGAATATTCATTGGCTTATACCCATTTTAGTCATTAAAGTCTAAAGCTATGATTGGACCTGATTCTTCTCTCATTTGTATTGCTAATCTTTTAACACAGTCAATAGAATTACTCAAGAGTTTTGTACCAGTCTAGCCTAAAGAGAATCTGGCTTATGGAAACTAAGAGATGACAACCTGTAACTCACAAAATGGCAGCACTCCTCAATTAGGTAATGTCAACTTTGGTAGATGTGTCCTCTTGTTTAGATATGGGTCTTTACATCTTACAAGTTCAGGAGCTGATGCTTTTAAGCTGGTCTTAAAAAGGCAGAGAAAATTGATCACACAAGTTGTTATGGGGGGAAGAGAAACACAGACAATGTGAAACTGCTAAGCTCAGTTTATGAAGTGGACCAAGTATCCCCCCCTCAATCTCTACTCTGAAGGTCTTTGTAGCTAGTTGTCGGCACAGGCTGCCAATCAAATGATATCACAGTATACCTTCCCAGCAGCTTTGGGAATGGTTCTGTCGCTTGTTGATCCACTGTCCCTGCCAAGGCTCATTATGCTTGATTCTTGTTTACATTGTCCTGTTGGCCTTGGCTTACCACACACAGCCCCTGTTAGCATTGTAACCAGCTCTTGGCCAAAGCAAGGCTGTGACATTCCTATGTCACAAGCAAGCAAGAACCCCAAATTGTTTTCACAATAAAAACTGAAGGCAATTATTATGGTCTGTGTCTCTCAGGGCCCTGAAGGCATTAAAAAAACCTTAGTTGCCTTGACCACCCTCACTTGGGGCTGCCCATAGATGGCCTAGGAGCCCCATTTAAGCTCAGGTCTGTGCTATTAGTCCCTGCCTGAGCTATAGCGTAGGTGTGCTTGTCTCCATCTCTCACACCTATGCCTATGTCCATGCCCATGGCCAGCTATGGATCCTGTTGATCTGTTTCCTGACCTGTGAACTGATTTTCTGGGTTGACCTCAGATCTGTCTCATCTCTATGGACCAGCCCAGTGATCACTGTATCTGTATGCGAGCTTGGTTGCCATCACAGGACCTGATCCTGACCTGAGGATTGACTTCCCGGCTTGACCTAGGACCTAGGACCTGCCTCGTCAGCATGAACCTGCCTGAAAATTTGGACTCTTTCTTGATCCTGGCTGCTAGCCCTTGGCCTGCCCTACTCTCCTTTTCTGGATACACTGGGATGGGCCCTGGCTAGGAAGGCTCCTTCCTTGCTGTCTGCTTTATCTTACTTGACTCAACTCCTCATCCCTTAGGGAGTAGTTGGCCCTTGCTGCGCCCTGGCAGTGTCTGGCAAGAGCTGCTGTGACTTGGTCACAGAAAACAGTGGCTCTGGTCACCTGGGCAGTTGTCTAGATTCTGCTTATCTATAATACTATGATGAAATTTTTATTTCAAGCCATTCTTTTTGAGTCACATTTGCCTAGCAAATCAGTCTGTGGTCAAACAGTAAGCAAGAAGAGACCTCACATTCAGCTCAGTTCTGCCTGGGGTGTGTGTGTGTGAGAACAAGGAAATGAAATACAGAATGCTGTATCTAATATAATAGTAAAAATTTACATACCAAATGAGACCTGATAGGCCAAATATCAATGATGCAGCTGAGCAATATTTCTCAATAGTAACTTAGAAATCAGAAGCCGTCTCTCTTGAACTGGCAGAGACAAAAGCCAAGTCATGAAGCAGGAGAATACTCTTGTTGCTGCCATAGCTGGCTGGAGCACTGCCATTTAACCATGTGGCATGTGCATATGAGGCTGGGAAAAAGATCTGGGAGCTGAGGGGTGATGTTTTGTACTTGGATGTCTTGTAGTTCTCATGTACAGAGAAACAGAAGGGCCTGAATCCAGTCCCAAGTGGCACCTCTATGGTCACTGCTAGTCCCTTATGCACTATGGCCTTTCTGTTCCCTGCTTAAGGCATGTGACATTTTAGTCTCCTATGGGCTGAAATTTGTGCTTAAACTCAGTCATTTAGAGGTTATGGATGATATGTAGAGTAAGGCCTCATCCAGCACCCCGTTTCTGGCTACCTGGTCTGTTCACATCTTCTCCACCTCCACCCCAAGCCCGTGTCCTGCCACACAGCATGATGACTGCTTCCCTCACAGTCTGTTTCCTGACTGGACAAAGGTGCTGCTAGCTGTTGTCTCTCTCCTTGCGGCATCCATGCTGAGGCTCAGAACTGTCAGGCACTGAAGGGGCTGGAGCTCCATCACTGTTTTGGCCTGGTCTTTTCCTTCAGCAGATCAGAGCTCCTATGCCAGCATGCTCTGTACGTGCCACCCCACCTGTGCATGTGGATGGTCACTTGGTGACATCCCAGAGTTCTGAACAGACCCAGGGAGCAGCCAGAGCTTTATCTCCCCAAAGTGGCTTTGGGAGCCTGGCTCAGCTCTGCTTCCTGATCTGCAGCCCCAGAGATGTGATGCAGAGCCACAGTGCTTTGCACTGGCATTGTCTTGTTTGTGCTGCATCCATTGCTACCATGGGTCTGGTTAAACCAAGAGCAGTTTTCCTGCCAAATGTGAAGTCTCTGTTCATCCTTAGCCATGGTGGTGGTAGGCAGAGTGTCTCAGTTTAAGTGTCTCTGATGAAGGTGGGTTGTGGACTGGGCAGTAGGCTGTGGCAAAAGAGGTGCAGATGGATATGTTCCCCATCCTGCAGCCCTGCCTGTCTTACAAGATAAGCAGTAACTCTGTTAGCCTCCAAATCTGCAATCTGTGTTAACTGTAGTAGTGAGATCTGGCAGGGCTTCCCTGTCAACATCATGCATGACTTCTCTAAGATAAGACAAGAAAATTGTGACAGGGCAGATTGCTGAGACATGGTATCATAATTCCCTCTAATTCCAACTACCATCTGGATTATTGGTCTACGCCATAGTGAGGTCTTTCCATAGCAGCATCCTGATCAGTGAATGCCTAATCCATAGCACCAGGGCCAAGACTATTTGGGTAGTTGGAGATGATTTTCAGGCCACTTTCATAGCTGGATCTGATGAGCATTTACAGTTGACCCCATTGGGTGTACTCATCTGAGCGAACCATGACAGCTCAGCCGGATTTTTGGATATAAAGTCTGCCCTTCCACCCTCACAGTTCCCTGCTACATCTTGATTTCCATCTAATTTGTTTTCCACTTCTGCCACTTGGTGCTCACAAACACTTCTTAGCCCCATATCCACCTTTTAATCCCTCACTTCTCTTAAGATCTACTCAGATGCAATGAACACAAACCATAACCGTCACTGCGGCAGGTGTGGCTCCTCCTTGTATTGCTGACTGGCCTAAGCAACACAGCTTCAACCTGGGAAAAGGTAGCTGGGACCCGCCACTTCAGCTGCATTCCCTAAATCTCTTCCCTTGAAGGGTTATCTCACAGCTGTACCAGGTGTCCCCTGGACCTGCACCACATGCCATGACTGTTCAAGGTCAAAGCTATCAAAACTACTAATAGATGGTCCCCTGAAGATTGTCCTGCCTCTGCTATGAGGAATATCATAAAGCACTTACTGCTGCTTAAACACACAGGTTCCTATCCCACAGTCCCGGTCTATGCCAGTGACAGGAGAAGGACTGTTAGCTGTGATGGAGAGACTATTTACATAGTAACATAGGGCCTGAATCATGAAGATCCTGGCAGAGCAACCCCATCTCTCTGGAGTCTTCTGAAGACTTCTTACAAGACCTCTTTAGCAGCTTACTTGTGGATACCCAAGTAGGGTGGATTTCTAATCTACCTGTGGACATGAGATGGTAAGATGGGTTAACCTTGGCAGGCAGCTAAGCACCACATAGCTGCATGCTCTCCCCTCTCCCCGCCCCATGGGATGGGGGAGAGAATCGGAAGGGCAAAAGCGAGAAAATGCGTGCATCAATATAAAGACAGTTTAACAAGTGAAGGGGAAAAAAAGAAGACATGCCAAATGATGCAGAGGCAATCACTCACCACCAGCAGACTGATGACCAGGCAGTCCCCAAGCAACAGCAACTTCAGAAAAAAATCCCCCCCCAGTTTTATTGTTGAGCGTACCGTTAGATGACATGAAAGATCCCTGTGGTTAGTTCGGGTCAGTT